GGGGGGGGGCGTCTGAGTTCATTTGAAGTAACTTTTTCCTTTGCAAAAATGCAAACCGCGACTTTGTTTACAAGTTATTCAAGAAAAACGGTGACTACTGAGAAACGAGCACGGCTGGTACGAGGCGGCCGAACCAATGAGCAGAACTTGACTTTGTACGCTCTTTGGATGGGCCGCCTCGCGTCAACAGAGATCGCCTCTTATTGGGCAGTGTTTTTCGTTAATAATTCGTCAACAAAGCCGCGGTTTGTATTTGCGCAAAGGAAAAAGTTACTTCCAAAGACCTCATTAATCCCCATTTCCGGATTGTGAGACATTGTTGAGATTTATGAGTAAAACAAAATCAAAGAGAAGAATATTCGAAATGGTCGAAGCACGGATTTGTTAGAGATTCTATCTTAGGAATGCTTTGACAAAACTGGAGAAGAAGTCGGACGTGCATGACGAAGAGAGGGTGCCCATTTACAACAAAGTATCGTCAACCCAGAACCGAATTGATTGGAAAATGAAGCTGTATACAACGCGTGGCGGACATAACCTGGTCCCTGTACTCGTTTGGGAACATTAGAGGCCTTCGTGTATACTTGATGAAGGATCCATTCACTGAAGAGTCCTTACGAGCGGGCCGCAGTAAATTCTTCAAGTAATACTTGTAGTTCCAGTGTCATAATGCAAATTATGTCGTAATGACGCTATACGTGCTGTTGGGACTATGGATTGTCTATTCTTTAGTTTCCTTGGTTTGGTCGTTCTGTCCGTTGTCGCATTAGCGTTTTCGCTAGTTTTGTAAGCACCAGAGAATTGAATTAAACTTGAAATAATTTTCTGTGTGAATCTATAAGAAAAGCTGTTTCATTTTGTTGAACCGAGCAATGTTTATTGTGAAATCTTCGTTTTACATCTGACACTTGATTGAACAACATAATTTTGTAAATAGTGTCCACGAAATTTTGTATGACAGTAAAGATATTTGTTGTAAAACGTGTAACGTTAAAGACACTTAACTCTCAGTCCTACTTTAGCATATAGTATCTTCGTAATTTATTAGAAATTTTAGTTAATACATCAGTTGAACTTATCTATGCGTCTAATTAAATGAAATAATAGACTTGATGGTGTGAAGATTAGGGACCTCTTCCAATTATTAGACTATAAGTTTATTGAATAATTATTAAAAAGCTTAACAGGAATATAGTATTAGGCATATTCAATTCTTACTAACAACTCTATTTCCCTGCATCATCGACACGAAGCTCTTGCAGGTTTCAGACTATAGTTATCGACAAAGTAATGCAATTTCTTCAGCACGAACGCAGACTTAGAATCGGCACAGTCATTGCAAGTTATGGGCTTTTCTGTTCAGTTTTGAAGGGCTCCAGAGTAAGGCTGTCGGAATACTCGAATATTGGAGCAACTTGAAATCTAGACCGAGTTTGGACTTGGTTTTCGATCCGAGCCGAGTACTCGATAAAACCGTGAGGTCTTATCGTCATGTTTATATAAACACTGCACTTAAGAGTCCCAGTCCCAAAAATCCCATCCTAAGTCATCGCCGTGAAAAAGATAAAATGAGGAGTAGTATATGTTATGTGTATTTATATACAAACACATAAAGAAAAGCATTATTAGTTCTGCTAAAATATTCGCACAGCTGTGTGAAAGTATCTTGAAATGTAACTGAAAATATCTAAAATAATGCAGTAATAAGTATAATATGTTTATTGTACATGAAGAACAGTTTATTCGGATCTCTGGGGGCGCTCGATCATAGTGTGACGCTTGAAATGCGTCTGAATTTCTCGCTTATATCCGCGCCGCTCAGTTACAATCGAGCATTTCGTTTGCAAAACTGCAATCCGCAGCTTTGTTTACAAGTTATTAAGGAAACACGCTGACCAATAAGAGGCGAATTCGGCTGACGCGTGATGGCTCGATCAACGAGCGTATGAAGCCCAGTTCCCCTCATTGATTCCTCGTATTGATCACAAAGATAACTATAATATTAAAGTTGTAATAAATATATAAAGTTATAATATTAAAAAATCATAACTGTCTCATCCTGTATAGATGCGATTGCAATTTTGTTCATAAATTAAATCAATAACGTTAATAAATTTATTAACTTTGTAAATACTCATACGCTAGAAAAATGTGTATACGTGTACCATAACTAGTTATATAATTAGTAGAAATAATAGGTCGACTGTCCATAAAAATAATTACACTTTATATCGCATTTCTGTAGCACATTAAATAGAATGACTACAATTTAAATATTTGTACCGAATACATACATTTGTTGTCTTCAAATAATAAACAGCACTCGCAGTAGAAATATAATGTACAGGACACATTCGCTTCTTGCTAACGTATGTATTTTTCGGGAACTATCGGTAACGTCGAATACGACACGAAATGGTAAGGGTAGAGCTCTCGAGTACTCGCAAAACACGAGTTGTATATGTATTACTCAGCACGAATAATCGATCCAAGTCGAGGCTCGAATATATTCGAGCGGCTTGAACGTAAGCGAGCAATTCGGATGCATTTTATGCGTTTTCGGGTACAATAAACATATTATACTTATTACTGCATTATTTTAGATATTTTCAGTTACATTTCAAGATACTTTCACACAGCTGTGCGAATATTTTAGCAGAACTAATAATGCTTTTCTTTATGTGTTTGTATATAAATACACATAACATATACTACTCCTCATTTTATCTTTTTCACGGCGATGACTTAGGATGGGATTTTTGGGACTGGGACTCTTAAGTGCAGTGTTTATATAAACATGACGATAAGACCTCACGGTTTTATCGAGTACTCGGCTCGGATCGAAAACCAAGTCCAAACTCGGTCTAGATTTCAAGTTGCTCCAATATTCGAGTATTCCGACAGCCTTACTCTGGAGCCCTTCAAAACTGAACAGAAAAGCCCATAACTTGCAATGACTGTGCCGATTCTAAGTCTGCGTTCGTGCTGAAGAAATTGCATTACTTTGTCGATAACTATAGTCTGAAACCTGCAAGAGCTTCGTGTCGATGATGCAGGGAAATAGAGTTGTTAGTAAGAATTGAATATGCCTAATACTATATTCCTGTTAAGCTTTTTAATAATTATTCAATAAACTTATAGTCTAATAATTGGAAGAGGTCCCTAATCTTCACACCATCAAGTCTATTATTTCATTTAATTAGACGCATAGATAAGTTCAACTGATGTATTAACTAAAATTTCTAATAAATTACGAAGATACTATATGCTAAAGTAGGACTGAGAGTTAAGTGTCTTTAACGTTACACGTTTTACAACAAATATCTTTACTGTCATACAAAATTTCGTGGACACTATTTACAAAATTATGTTGTTCAATCAAGTGTCAGATGTAAAACGAAGATTTCACAATAAACATTGTTCGGTTCAACAAAATGAAACAGCTTTTCTTATAGATTCACACAGAAAATTATTTCAAGTTTAATTCAATTCTCTGGTGCTTACAAAACTAGCGAAAACGCTAATGCGACAACGGACAGAACGACCAAACCAAGGAAACTAAAGAATAGACAATCCATAGTCCCAACAGCACGTATAGTGTAATTACGACATAATTTGCAATGCGCAACCTGAAACAAAGAAGGTTCGTTGTAATACTTAATTTTTAATAGTTTTGTTAATTATGACACTGGAACTACAAGTATTACTTGAAGAATTTACTGCGGCCCGCTCGTAAGGACTCTTCAGTGAGTGGATCCTTCATCAAGTATACACGAAGGCCTCTAATGTTCCCAAACAAGTACAGGGACCAGTTTATGTCCGCCACGTTGAAATTGAAGATCTTCCGGTCGATGGGTCTCAGCTTCGACCACAATTTCTTCACGTTCTCATCCCGAAACTTCCACTGTTGCATGGTGAAAATGTCTATTACACCGCTGAACTTTCCAATTTTCGCATAAGCATCCATTAACCTGCAAAACGTGATATCAATGAAAACCACTGCTCGTTCCGCGCGTTGTTACCGTAGCATGCGAAATATCAGAGACGTACATAGGTTTACGTCCTGTGATTCGCGCCAACGTGTCCGCGATGGCTGCCGGTATGATGTGGAAGAGTATAGAGCATATATTGTGAATGAACAGGTTTCTGTTCAATAGCAACCAGTAGTACCAAATCGCGTCCTTGGGAGGGATTGGCATACCGTAGTATTTAGTTAGATACATGAATCTGCTCCATTCGATTCGGTTCTGAGGTGACGTTACTTGATTGTAAACGGGTACCCTCTCCTCGTCAGGCATGTCCGACTTCTGCTCCAGTTTTGCCAAAACATTCCTAGAAAAGAATCACTGATAAATCAATTTGACGCATAGTACGACTGACTGGTCATTCGTACGAATATTCTCTATCTTTGATTTATTTTCCCGACAACACTACTTGTACATCAACAAAAATAATGAGAATTCAATGTGATCAAGTCTTCGCTCGAGGATTTATTGTTTCACGACGTATCGAGTTACATAAATACGTCAAACGACGTTATTAGTATCATTGATAATTCATTCAAGTGATTCTAATATAATTAATCATCACCGGCAACCTTCAAAACAATACCTTGATCTTCGTTTAGACAGAACGCTCACCGCTTATTGATGTCCCAAGTTGCAGCGATAGTGTTGGACACGACATAATCCGCAGGTATAATCTCTGCTGCGCACTCTGATACGCAGTGCAGTGTATGTATCAGTCCCAAACTGCATGCGAAAACAATGCCAGTGGCACCGTTTAGATTGTTGACCCATCCTGCGAGAGGTTCGTGGAACGTTGTCGTCACAATTGAAGGTCGAACAATCCCTACTGGAAGGTCACCCGCATACTTTAGAACAACACTTTCTGCAATTGATTTAGAGAAAACGTAGTTGTTCGGCCATTTTCCCCGCAATCTACAATATGGAACAATTTTAATGATACCTACTATTGTAATAACAACAATTGTTGTAATAGTAACAATTGTTTTCGGACGAATACTTACGTAGCCTCTATCGCTAGCAGTTTATCGTCGTCCAAACAATTCACCAATGTGATTAGTTTGTCACAGTCCATGGGAGGATCGTAATGGATTTCGTCGATGGTCTCATGTACGCAGTTCGAGAATGCTGTCGATACGTACACGAATGACTGCGAACAGAATAATTAACGATCATTTCGTGGATTCCCTTCCGAACCGCCAATGAACGTTAGACTGCAGATTTTACGGTAGCTGCGATTGAAACAGTTTCCGGGGCACCGATTTGTCTAGATCACGCTCGATTTATTAGAGCAAGAGATGAATTTCCTTCTAGTACATTGAACATTGGTATAACCGACTGTACAAGACAGATCTATTCTTCATAACGATTTCACTGATCATATTTATGCTAATCCCAATTTATATCGATTATTTTACGAAAACCAGAACCGAGGGAAAGATCTGATTTACAAATTAGAAAGAGCCGTTTTGTAGTTCAAATCATTCTGATCATTTTTCTATTGACAATAGGGCGAATACTCTTTTTGAATTTGCAATTTTATTGTTCGTTGAATTAGTAATTTAGTAATTAGTAATTTACCGACGATATGTGATTGTATTTTCCGAGCATGACGTCGTCTTGCAGTTCGTGAATCGATATCCTGTGCTCGCACATATTTCGCGCGCTCATTACAATCATAATAGTAATACATTTCCCGACAAGGACGAAATATTAGAATATATTTCTGCACATGGTTGATTATTAACTAACACAGGTTACGCGATGGCAGTTTTACGAAATATCTGACGTACCTTCAAGTTCGGCAGCGTTTTCGCCCACAGCAACAACTGCTTTGTAGTTCTCACGTTGGTGTGCACTATCGTACGGAGCTTCTCGTTGAAGTTGACACTTGCAGCAGCATGGATTACGATATTTGTGTCGTTTAGTGTCAGTACAGATTGCGCAGACAATCCGAAATTTTCTTCGGCAGCATCGCCCTCTATTAACACTATCTTATTTAAGAAGTCTGGCTGTTCCCGCTTCGTCTTGCTAAATACCTAGGCACGATAACGAAAGCATTGATTGGAGTTCAACGAGTATTCATAGTTGCTTCATAATGTTACATACGACATCGTCGACGCAGTCTTTGAATCGTTCTTCCACAGACTTCCCCTTTTTCTGTCTTATCAACATGTAAATCTTTGCGATATCCGGGCAGCACCTGCGAACATATGACAAACACTTGTTCGTGAAAACATATTCGAATCCGCAGCTTTCATCTTATTTCGTCTTTATTGCGATCAACCATAACTATTCTGTTCGGATGTACGACATATTCTCAGTTATTTTTACAAAGAATAACATAATAAATAGCATAATAATTGCTGAACAACATTATAGCACAAACTTAATAATATCTAACATTGAGCACTAGAACTATTTTAAAGTAGAGGTTTCAAGCTCCAATTTGAAAGAAAGATCATCACCCGACGATGCTATAATAATTTTTTTCGGTGGTACAGTAATTTCGCCCTAATTCGTGCTCAGATTGCGCACAAAATTGGTCAATTTTGGAAGAGATACGATTATTCGCACCCTGCGGGTCGGTTTTATAGTTGTTGACAATCGGTAACTATAAAAACCAAATCGAATAATAAATAATGATGATATAAATAATAATAATAACGGTAACAATAACAATAACGATAAGAACAACAATAAATATTATAAATAAATAATAATGATAAACAATTATATAAATAATAAAATAAATAGTAGAAATAAAAAATAATAACATAAATAATAAGTAGAAAATAATCGAATAATCGTATTTCCTCTTCCCCCCCCCCTCCCAAATTTTACATTTTTGTGCAGAATCCGAGGGTCAATTCGGGAGAATTTACTGTATTTTCCAAGAACCAGGATGATTATGTTTTCGCGCGTATGGAAACTTCTTCGACTTCATATGCAACTTCGGAAATTTTTGCAAATATCGTAATGTTCTAAAATTGATAAAAACAAGAATAAATTGTCCAAGATACACATAATTCGCATAAATATTCAAATGTATAAATAATGGTGTCAATGTTGTCGCCCGATGCTTTTCCTTGTAATCTATAAATTATTTTCGAAGAGAGCAGAACGCACGAGGCTTCCGAAAATGATAGTCATTGTTTACCTCGTTTAATCTCGTTTTTAATCGAAGTTATATATTAATTAATTCTAATTGTATGCGCTATGACTTCGATAGTAATCAGACCGGATGTGTTAGAATCGTCTTCTTCATTAGGAATAAAACAGTGTGTCATGCCACTTAAAAAAAAATGTCAATGTAACCCTAAAATCTTCAATATTCCTTCGTCTGTAAAAATAAAAACGATTACTGTCACGTTACGGCCCCCATCAAACCGCACAACTTTCGTTAACAAAGTTTCTCTTTGTCTCAAAAAATAACTTAGATATCCGAGGTGACCAAAGTTAATCGCCCCACCCTGTATAGACGCGATTCATTTCACTCTAACTATTCACAATTTCATTCGGATCGATACGATCTCAGTTGTTAATATAAAAAAAAGTCACCTCAATAATTTCTCGATGATTAATTTGCCGATGAAGCCAGACCCACCTGTCACCAAAACTTTCGCCCCTTTGTAAAAATCGACGATTTCACTCACATTCTTCTCCGGGACTTGGGAATTAGGTTCTTCGCTCCTGCCCGACGACATCTCGTTCGCGTACCTGTTTAACTGGCATAAAATTCGCAGTTTAATGTGGCTCGCTGACTTTCGTTGCCACTAATTGGAACTCTTTGGAACCTTATGATTCCCCTTAAACTATTATAACACGTCGGATCCTCGGGCTTTCAATATGCTGAATGATGCAAGAGGATGGCCTTTAATCCTTAGGACAATGCAACTCTCGCTTGACGCAGAGTATCACAAGTTGCGGACCATTTCATTTGTGAAACAACTGGAGTATAAGTTCAGTATAAATTCAATATAAATTCACGTACAAAATTAAGCCAAATACAAAATCGAACAAGGTAGAAAATCGAACCAAATAGAAGAAGATCGAGTGGATGTAAAAAGTTATACAAAAGGCTTTCGAAAACAGACGGAAGTGTCCATGCCTTTTTTGTCACCACGTACCTGGACTGAAACAACTCAGTGCTCTGTTCGATGTGAACTGAATAGCGTTTGAACTGAATGACATTTCCTCTAAGCGTGCAACTATGTTTGCCTTGGTTGCTTAATTTATGATGATACATGCTGCACCACAAAACAATACAGTGCTTTTTCTCGTAATCAATATACTAATTTGCCGGAAACCGAAAATGCAGTGCACCGCATTAATTCTGTACCGTTGACAGTAAAATGGGTACAGCACTTTTCTTTTCTTCCGGCAACGAAGTCGCTCGGGTTTGTTTAGCCGACACATTACCCGACAATGACGTTGCTTTTACGTGATATATATCGAGGTCGCTCTAGTAATTGCCCTTTCGAATAAATTGTATCTATTTAAGGCTGAGTATGCGTAATTAATAAGCGAGCATGTGTGCTGGTCGCGCGAATCCTCTGCTTTTACAGTTTGTTTTCGAACGGCACCTAACCTCTGTGTCAAGTCAGTGAACGGTACGCCGTCACGTTTAGATTTCTTCTACCAATTTATTTGTACTGATACATATGCAAGAAGACTACGGTATATACAATACATCATTGGAATGGCATATACTATAAACAAAGAAAAGAAACAAAATATAAGATCTAATCGTAAATTGCACTGCCTGCAGACCGATCGTGCGTATTGGTCGAACGTTACGGATCGATCTGTTTTTATTTAGGTAACGATTAGATCGCGGATTTATTTTGCAAAATAGAATAATTTGTATCTATGCACGAACTGTAAGCTACGCGGGCGCTCGTTTCTTTTCTTAACCGTTTCAATAAATAGTCGTAAATTCTCTACGTGATTTTCCTATTTGGCGATACGATCTACTCGTCGCTGCCGCGAGTCCGTGAAATCCGCGCTCTAATAGCGATACCCTTTTGTTCGTTGTTCTCGACGATAAGATGAAGTAGTTCGGATACAATCCTCTCTGGTCACCGTTCAGACGTATATATCGACGAAATACTCTCGTGGAAAAATAGAGAAAAATATCTTTGTTCGCTGTACTTTACAAATCAAATGGAAACCGTTCCACGCGAATCAAACGAACGAAAGCAAACGCACTTGTATTATCTTCGCACAGTGTTCAGTTTCGTTTGACAATTTATACACATCTCCATCGTCATCGTCCCCTCCGTCACTCTCCGTTAAATATTAAATTTCCTATAATCCGAAATCAAGCCGGGAAATGGCGAAGGACGAGCATAAATAATATCTATCGGGTCCTCGAGAGTGAAAGCCGCTCAGTCGTCCTGAAGAATGCTCAAGGGGTCCTCGCTGATCTTCTCAGCCGTCTTCTTCAGGTCCCTGGTGACCGACTTCTTCACGGTTGTCCTCGTTTCCACCGGTCTCGGTGGTTCACTGGCCGTGGACTTCTTCCCAAAAATGTTTCCGTCGTCGTCGTCGTCGTCCGATGGGAACAGCGACTTCGACGTAGCGACGGTTTTCTTCGCGGTGGCCTTCGATGCGAAGATGTCGTCCTCCCCGCTGGAAGGGTCCGTGTATATGTCGTTGATGTGCGAGGTCTTCACAGGTCCAGCGGTGCTCGCGAAGATCTCTTTGTTCGGTAGCTCCTGAATGCTGCCGGCGTCGGACTTTTGCGCCTGTTCCGGCTGCTCTGAGAACAGGTTCGCGTCGTCGTCCCCGTCGTCGAACACGCTGATCTTCTTCCGAGGTTGTTGAGCCGGCAGCTGTTTCTTTTCCAGCTCAGCCTTCGCCAGTTTCTTCACCGGGCCGAAGAGGCTGTCATCTTCATCGTCCTGGCCGTCGTCGTCGAACAAACTGATCTTGGTGTCCTTTAGCGGCTTCTTCACCGGCTTCGCCAGGCTCGTCGAGAACAGATCGCCCTCGGCGTCGTCGGCGAACAGATCCAGCATCGGCTTCTTCGTTTGGTCTACGGAAGGCCTCTTGCTACCGGTGGAGAAGAGGCTGTCGTCCTCGGAGAACAGCAGGCTCTTGCCCATCTCCGGGGATGGCGTCTTAGTGACGAAGGCAAAGAGCTGGCTGGGGTCCTTCAGAGGGTCGTGACTGCTGTCCCTTAGCGGATCCATCATCTCCTTCGACTCTGTCACAGCATCTTCCTCCTGCTGCTGCTCGGAGCTAGGAACTACGGACTCTATGGTAGCCTCGCTGGTAACTTCAATCACCTTACTAATTCGATCGTTATCTACATCTTTAGCGTTCGCTTCAGCGTTTTCTATTGTCTTGATATGAGTGTCCTTGAGCGGCTTGAAACTGGTCACTGGTTTCTCGGCGAGGACTCTGTCGACGGGTGAGAGAATCGGCGCTCTGCCGAACAGCGTATCTTCTCTTTGAGGGTCCTCCGGCAAGTCCGGTGGCACGTCGAACAGGTCCTCTTCGTCGGTGGAGGGTGACAGTAGCGTGTTCTTGTTAGCGCTCATCGAACTCTCCTTGCTTATGCTACCTAGTTCCGACTTCTCATCCGCGGCCAAGGCGTTCGGGTCGCCGAGTCGATGGTGGCCGTCGTTACCCGACGAAGTCAGACGATCCGGGACTTGCGGCACGTTCGACGAGCTCGTCGGCTCTTTGCCGCGAGTGTTCGTGGATCTGTGAGCGTCGTCCTGAGCATTGCTTCCTACGTCGACGGTATCGAAGTCGATCCCACTGTGCCTGAGAGCGGACTTTCGAGCGTGTCTGCTCTGGGGCCGGCGTTTCGCTTGGATCCTCACCCGCGTCTGAAACAACACTCGATACATAAGATACGAAAGACGCCGATTAGATTCGGGGGAATGGTTACACGGCCATTCCAGCGATTACCTTCGAGGCGGCCGTGGACAACGTTTCCACTTGGGCGGGCTCGTCGAAACTGATTGCGCTCTCCACGTTGCTTCCACCGGAAACCGTCGACTGCAACGACTGCTTCTGTGCCGTGCTGTCCTCTGCGAGCAGACGGTCAAGGTTAATGTTTTGGTTAATGTTTTGGTCCCGCGCCGAGCTATTTTTACTCGACTCTTCACACTGGCCATTTGATATATTACTAAAACTCGATATATTATATGTAATTATTAATTATCGCGCGCGCGCGTACATGCATGCATACATGCATATATACATACATATATTATATATCACAATGGAACAAACTTATTATAACCCATTCTTCTGGTGGAAATTAATTCTTCAGTTTGAAATTTGCTACGAACAATTTTTCTGACGCATTAAATAAACGTGTTAATGGAGATCAGCCTTCATGTTACGGCAATCGACTCTTTCATCTTCAATAATACAAAAGAGACGAACTCTTCATTCAATGTAAAAGAGATGAACTCTTTGTATTTCTAATTACATTATTTTCTAATCACCATGCCAATAACTTACAGTGCAGGCTACATTTTAATACACTGTGTGAGCGGGTCTTTTGCTCAGGCCTCAACCTAATCAGTCTCTGCAAATCCCTTCTATTATCCAACCGTGTCTACGAAAGTCTCGAGATTGAAACAATTGAAATGTACATCTGTTTGGTATTGTTTACAGCCCTTATACACCGTGAACGCTTTTGAAGTCGGCACAGTGAAGTATACATCGTTCTAGTGTACAAACAGACTACCGAGCGGAAGTGGATAGAACTGAGCCGGCCCAGTAAACACAGCCAGTCATTACCAGATATACTAGGCGGTGAGCTATGACCCTGCGTGCTGATACATCCGCCATCGTCGCTGTCCCTGTCCGCGACGCTGTCGTCGTCGTCGGTCCTCTCCTCGCCTTTCCTCCAAAGCGGCGGCGTGTCCATAGGCGAAAGTATCTTCAAGTCGCCCATCTTACCCATCAGATTCTTTATCTTTCCAGATACCGATCTCCTGTTGGCCTGGCTGTTCTCCTGGGACTGCGACGACGAGACCGTCACTTGAATATCCAGGAACCTCGGCGGACTCCTCCTCGGCTCAACCTCTGCGGTCTCTGAAGCGATAGCAGTCGCTCGATGAGCTTCCTTCAGCTCCGGTTTGCTGGCATCGAAAGCGTTCATCTTCGCACTGTCTTCGGGGACAATGGACTCGACCTCGACGGGCGCGATCGGTTCTATTTTCGCGTGCTTATTGTCATCTGGCGCAGATGAATCGGTAGCAGCTTTGCTGCTGAAGAGGTCGTCGTAGTCGTCGTCCTCGAAGATCAGCCCATGGGAACCGATGGTGCTGGAGAACAGACCGTTCCTCTCGTCCCTGGACTTGTCCTCCTCGCGGTCCTTCCTCGCGGGACCTGGTCCATCGAGCTGCTCCAGGTCCCCGGGCCTCTTCACGGAAAACAGGTCACCGTCGTCGTCGCTGCTGAACAATTTCGACTCGATCCTGGCCTCGCTCCTGGCCGGCTTCACGGAGAACAGGTCCCCGTCGTCAGCGTCCTCGACGTCGTCGAACAGGCTGATCTTCTTCGGCCGCTTCTCCGGCCCGTCGAGCCTCGGCACCGTGTCCTTGACGCTCCTCGCGAAGAGGGCATCGTCCACCGTGTCCGCCAGCCTCTTCGCCGCGACGTTGACCTCCTCCTTCGACGTCCTCGACGCTATGCCGAATATATCGACGTCCGGCGAGTCCTTGTTGTCGAAGATGTCGATGTCCTCGTCGAACAGGCCGCGCCGTTGCGTCGTCGCCTTCGACCTGTCCGACAGCTGGGGGACCGAGGTCAGGAAGTCGGTGCTCTTCTGCGACCTGGAGCCCGAGCTGGTCGTGGAGAACAACTCGTCGCCGGAGTCGGAGTCGTCGAACGGGAACGACACCTTCGATTTCGGCTTCGGCTCCGTTTTCGGCAACGGCGGCGGCCCGAACAGCTCCTCGTTCTCGAACACGTCGTTGTCCAGCGCCGACGAGGGCTCCTCCGCTGCCGGCTCCTCCTGGGCCTGGTTCGTCGTCGAACTCGAGGACACCGGATTACGGCTCCGGCCGCTGAACAGGCTGTCGCTGACCACTCGCTCCCGGTAGATCTCCTCGGACTTCAGTCGGGTCGAGGTCATCGGCGGTAGGAAATTCGCGCTGCTGAAAAGAGATACGAGTGTTTTCAGACCACGTGTCATGGGTTCGTGATTCGATTGTTCGGGGACGAGGGTGTAGGTAGCGGTAACCTAGAGATATGATTATTCGATTATTTTTTATTTCTTATTATGTATTATTATTTATTTTTTAGTATTTTTATTGTTTTTATTATTTATTTTTGATTATTCTTATTATTTTTTATTATTATTTATATTTATATTATTATTTATTATTCTATTTCGTTTTTATAATTATCTTATTACAATACCGTATTATAATTACTGTATTTGAAATAATTCAGTGATACAGTAAATTCTCCCTAGTTGACCCTCACCTTGGAAACACAAATGGACAATTTGGAAAGTGGAGATACGATTATTCGAGCCTCGCGGCTTGTTTTTATAGTTACCGATTGTCAACAACTATCTCAACTAAACTTTCCGCTTCCAAAATTGTCCATTTTTGTGCGCAATCCGAGACGAATTGGGGAGAAATTGTGATAATCGTTTCGTGGCAATGTTTTATTCAATATCATCTGAAGGTCATCGATTAACAGGTCGTCGAATTCGTCACGGGGACTAATTTGTGACTGTATATTATTAATAAATTGTACCGTATATATATCGTTAATATATTGTATTACATATAAAGTTAAGTAAACGATAACTGATCTCGTTGAAATTAAAACATCGATGGATGCGTAATATCAACGATAACACGTACGTAACGTCAATATAAAAATCATAGAGGATACCGACGTTTATCTAACCGAACGAACTCGTTCAAACATAATCTTTACGAAATTCTCAATTTCACGATATTTCTCATTTTCCCACGAAATGACGAAATGTGTTAATGCTTTTTTCAAAAGGAAATTACGCAAAAGTAAGAAATTATCATGGTCAAGCAAGAGAGAGAGAGAGAGAGAGAGAGAGAGAGAGAGAGAGAGAGAGAGAATGTGCGTTTACGTGTCTGTCTACAAAAAATTAATATTCATCTCGCAAGCTCAGCCGAATATTCAATTATACGTAATCCGATCGCAGTTGCAAACATCAAGCTAATTAAACAAACGGACGTGTTGCACTCCGTGAAGTTGTTCGTATATTCAACAGGAAATCTTCTTTATGGTCGCTTCTCCTAAATCTGGTGATCTATCGGATTCTGAGCGGATCGAAGTGACTGCACTTCAATTTATTATGTCGATGCATAAATAACTTCTGTTCTTTTCTTTTTTATCAGACATTTACTTCGTTCTTTTCTTTTCATTTATTTCGTTCGCCTTTCTTTTTTTTTTGTTTCATTTATTTCGAACCCTTATCCGTTTGGTAAAAGCAAAGATTCGTTCGTTCCGATGACTCATACTGGCTAGACACGAACAACAGATTCTGATACTGTAAATTCTCTCTAATCGACGCACAAATTGTGCACAAATATTGGAAGAGGAGATACGATTATTCGATTATTTTTTCCTTATTATTTATATATTATCATATAAATAATATATTATTATTATTTTGCATTTATATTACTATTTATTATTATCATTATTTATATTTATATTATGATTTATCATTCGATTCCGTTTGTATAGTTACCGATTGCCAACAACTATAAAAACAAGTCGCAAGGCTCAAATTGTTACGTTTTTGTGCACGATCTAAGGGGTCAATTAGGGAGAATTTACCGTATGAAATGTCGTGTTTCCGCGTGAAAACGAATGCGCACTGTTCAACCAGGCTAACAAATAAACGCCGCGGTACCAACAATCGTGACGGTAAACTAAATTCGAACTGAGTCAGCTGGGCGGTTTTTGCGGCGTACTCGCGCCGTCCTTATCCAGCTGTTCGATTTGCACAATGTAGCGGAACGCTGCCGAACGATCGACGGCGTCCGAGAGAAAACGATTCGTGTTCCCGCGAGATCCAATGGTCCGCGGAGGTAAGTAGAGCGAAAGGAGACTCTCCCGTACCGGAAGCCGTTGTAGCACGGTTTATTCGATGCCTCGTACGTTCACAAACGGGGACGTCCAGTGCTGGAACCGAAACGACGGTGGACTGCACGCGCGCGGGATACTGATTCTACTGGACGAGATGCTATGCAACTGAAGGAGCTCGCCTTGAGCCTCGTGTTTGCTCGTCGCACAATCACTGTAACGCAATGGTGGATGACTAATGTTTGGATCATCAATTCAATGACAGTTTAAGTATTTGGCACGCGTACTTGTTCGCCCGTTGCCGGTCCGCCGCGATCGGGAGAAACGCGGCTCGTAGTTCACGGATTCTGGACGAAGACAGTGGACGGTGTTATCTAATCGGGCGCGATGAATTTGCCGATACGATTTGTTGCTTCCCGATTGAGGCTTAACTGCGACTAAAGTCGAGGATCGTATCGAGGAGCTGCATCGTATCGGGAGAGAATATTTATATCTTGGGGAAGTGAAACGGAACGTTTTAGAAATTCACTGGCAGGCTTCTGCGATGGTTTTTGTACGGGGCACTTTTTCAATCGCTTTCGACTGAAAGTCTAACCAAAAAAATGTTTCGAACGAAAGTTGATCAGCATTTAGTCGGCTACGTATTGTGAAATCACAGAATTCGATGGCTATTGTTTCTCGACTGAAAGCCAAGGTCACCTTGACTTTTTCAAAGATGGCACCCTATATGTATTTCCGACTTCGTAGAGTTGCCGCTGACGAAAGGATGAATTCGACGGACTGTTACACTGTGACCATCAGATGACCTTGACTTTAGCAATTTAGGTTATTTTAACGTAGATTGCACTGTCCGACACGATTTTTTATTTCCTATAGCCACTATGAAATTCTTGTAGAGCTTCACTCCCCGCAGAAGAATCCGAAAATCGAATTGCCCCATCACCCTCAGTTTTTGAAAAAAACAAACTTTTGTGAAAACCTAAAATTTTCGACAAAAATGAGGTATTGCATGAAATGTACAAACGTTAGAAAGTTCTAATCGGTCTCAAAAGATAGAGGAAAGTTTTTCGAATATAGTGGCATACAATTTATTAATTGTTTTTGGTCCTAAATAACTATAAATTAATGTCAAAGTTTAAAAAAGTGTCGACGTGCGCAGTTTCTCCGCAATATTTTTGTACTTTTACGAAAAGTTCTTTGTTCAGCACGAAAACTCTACCCAGGATCGGATTCTGTAGACATTTTTGAAGAAGAAACGGCCCGATAGAAGTGTTGGAACGATGTACATTTTGAGTAGGTCGAGAAAATGTTCGTCGGCAACATGTACACGATGTTTTGCCGCCATGTGCTTCGCTGCTCGCTTCTCTCTGTCCGACAGGGCCGAAGCTATTCGTAATCAACACCGATGGAGGGATCCAATGGGGCACCCACTTTTCGTAAATAATATTTAAATTCTTTTTAGTACTTCAATGTTTTGTTTTCTTTTTGACATATTTCTGTGGGTAATAATCACTAAACTGTGATATATTTCACAAAAAAAAATCACATCAGAGTATTTGCAGTGGATAACGAAAATATTCTAACACTAGTATAATTTTGACTTCTACGCCATATAATTAAATAAATATTTAAATATATATTTAACAATATGTTTCAAGAAGTTTACCGTTTTGAAAATGATTATTTATTCATAATCGTATTATCGCTATAATTTAAATGATAACTGTATACATGATATACTTGTAATTCGAACAAATTCAGAATAAAATGAATATTTTTGTTCATTATTTTTCTTTTATTATTTCTCCATTTGAAAATTAATAATCTTACTTCTATATTCCTAAAACCATGTTTTTCGTACTTTTTAATTTATAATTCACAGTTTGGTGATTATTATCCACAGAAATATGTAAAAGAAGGCAGCACATTGAGGTACTCAACAAAATTCAAAGTAGCACGCCCAACACGTTAAGTGGGTGCCCCATTGGATCCCTCCATCGATGTTGATTACACATAGCTTCGGCCCTGTCGGACAGAGAGAGCGAGCAGC